TATATATATATATATATATATATATATAACTAATAAAAATGACAAACACACACAACAAAATTACTAACTTTAACGAAAATGAAAATGGAACATTCAACAATAAAAACTAATTTGAAATATAAAATAAAAGCTAGGCTAATGGTCTCTCAGTGATATTAAAATAACACTGGCATGTGTCATATTGCACGCCAAAATCCAAAGAGAGAGAAAAAAAAAAAAAAAAACTAAGCCAATTTCAGGACCACAAATATTTTCTGCATTGTGATATGATTTTCAGGCATATACAAAATGCATAACAATAGCACTGTGACGTGAGTATTTAAAGAAACAATGCTACAGATAATTTCTTTGAGAATTCACCCCTCAGTTTCTCGATGTAAGCTGAGGTTTGAGTTACACTGCATGCAATAAAACTCAATTCACATGCAAATGATGTTACCAATCTTCTTGAATTATTTCAATCTACATGCATCTGAAAACATCTGACATTAATGACCATGAGCCATTAATTGCTGAAGTTTCCAAGTAGTCCACTAGAGTGGAAGTACATGGGACGCTTCAGGCTGATGGATAATCCATGCAGAGCTCAAGATGTTTTGAGGAAAGGACATGCATGAAGTCGATTCTTCGAAGTCACAAACAGTATTCTGTGCTCATCAGCCTTTCAGGCATTTTCACCACACAGATTAGTTTGTTATGAGGGTTAATAATTTTCACCACTGCAAAAACGTTTGTGGATTTCCTTGTCTGAGCCAATGAGCAGCCATATGCACAGTAGGGCTGGGTGATATACTGAATAATCACAATATATTCACAACAATTTAAATTAAGCAAAAATATTAAATATTATAAAAATCAAGCAAAAAATATAAAATATCTCAGTAGCAAAAACGGCATTAGAGCTCCATGCCTGAACCAATATTTGACTAATGGAAGTAATGGAAGTCACTGTATGACATTTTTATGAATTTATGTAAAAAAAATTCAATTCAATTCAATTCAATTGAATAAATTCAATTAAACATTTGAATAAATATTATTTAAACAAAATGTCAATTAAATTAAAATATTGCTGTTTATTACTATGCACTGTTACATTTGGAAAGGTTTAAATGTCTATGTATTTTAACCACACAGTTTAGTTCGTTATGAGCATTAACGATTTTCTCCTGTGCAACTATTGTGGATCTTCTTTTCTGAGCCAATAAGCAGCCATATACAGAGTAGGGATGGATGAATATTGAATATTCACAATATATTTTTCATGATTCTTCTGGTGAATTAAACAAAAATGTATATTATAAAAATTAAGCAAAAACCATAAAATATCTCAGTAGCAAAAACAGCATTATAATCGAATTAAATCTGATTAAAGTCAAATCTGCATTAAATGTATTTATGCCATTTTTATGTATTAAAGTATTTGTTTAAAATTAAATATTTTAATAAATATTATTTAAATAGAAATTCATTATAATGTATAAAATTAAATAAATTAATAAAAAATAAATAAATATAAAAAAATATATCTTGCATTAAATGATTGTTAAAAGATTAATTGATAAATGATTGTTCAAGGTCAAAGTAAATACTGAATAGCGTAAAAAGTCAGATATATCTATATTTATATATATAATCACCCAGCCCAAATACACATCCATATACTTATGTATCATCATGCATGTTTGTGCTCTACCATATGACATATGGGAGCAGTTGCATATCTTATGTCATGCAAACTTTGTGTCATTCCATACTTAAACCTATGAAACAAAAATGTTTTCACATTTTTTAAAGTTGCAATGGCACTAAATCAAACAGATGACTTGAAACCCAAACGAAAGTTTATACCTGTAACTGCAACTGCTTCTAGTAGTGAAGATCTTTGGTTATTGGATATTCCATAAAGCCTTACTTGGTACTCTGTGGAAGCCTTTAGGCCACGGATTTTAGTGTCATTCACCTCCCCATGGAGATGAACCTCCTCCTTCCATTTCCCTGAGAAATCTTTAAGTTCTACAGTGTAACTATCATAGCCAATGTGCTTATTTGACTCCCACGCAAGATCAAATCCATCGGATGTGACATTAGACACGGTCAAGGTGCCAGTGGGGTCCTCGTATCCGGTCCCAGAGAACGGGATCTCTGAGTTGTCGAGAGACACAAAGCTAATGACATTGTCGTCGGTGCCTTTGGTGTTCGCTAGATAAAAAGTGAAAGATGCTACAAGAAAAAGACAAAAACACATGACACTTGGGAACAACAGATGAAACGGCATGATAACACGTGCAAATCCCCTCATTCAAGACCAATTATGATTGAATATCATCTTCTAGACAGATGGTTTGCTTGGTTTATCAGCAAAGATCCTCACACTGTTCCTTTACCAGGTGCAACACATTAAGTTTCCTGAAAGTGAAAATCCATACAATTACAGCTAATCGGAACATATCTGATGTTTAATATACATCATTTTGACCAATGAGATTGCATTGTGGGCGGGGCTTTCCAGAAACTCAGATTTACATAAAAGAGCTTCCGTTCTTTGTTGGTTTTATGGTGTTGCAGCTGGTTTGGACACAGTGTCATAAATTAAGACCAGAAACATACTTTACTGAAATACACAAACGCAGACGTGAATACTTGGCCAATGCACTACAAGTATGCAGATCTGCTGAACCTACTAATAGTTCACCCATAAAAGATGTAGATGAGTTTGTTTGTTCATTCGATCAGATTTGGAGAAATGTAGCATTCCATCACTTGCTCACCAGTGGATCCTCTGCAGTGAATGGGTGCCGTCAGAATGACAGTCCAAACAACTGATAAAAACATCACAATAATCCACAAGTAACCCACACCACCGCAGTCCATCAGTTAACATCTTGTGAAGCCAAAAGCTGCGTGTTTGTAAGAAGTTAAGAAGTAACTTTAAACATCACCTCTGGCCAAAATATGAGCCAATACAATCCATAATAATGCTTCCTCCAGTGAAAAAGTCCATCCCCTGTTGTCCTCTCACATTAAAATCCACCCACATATTTGTTTAGAAATATTTTGGACTGTTTCCGCTTGTAAACGGTGCTTGATCTGTGCATATTTCTCTCTTGATTCAGATGAGATAACTTTTTCATGGGAGAAATCAATATTATGGATAGAGGACTCATATTTTAGTTAGATGCAATGGTTTGAAGTTAAAAAAAGTCTTAATGATGCATCTGTTTCTTACAAACATGCAGCTTTACGTGTCACAAGACATTAACTGATGGACTGGAGTGGTGTGGATTATTGTGATGTTTTTATCAGCTGTTTGGACTCTCATTCTGACGGCACCCATTCACTGCAGAGGATCCATTGCTGAGCAAGTGATGGAATGCTAAAGCTCATCTACATTTTGGATGGCCTGAAGGGGAGTACATTTTCATTTAACATGCGATGTTGCATTGCACCTGCAATAACAATAAAGTTTCCTTGTGTTTTATAATTTTATCCACCTTATTTTTCAATGCTATAAGCAATTTCCAGTGAATGGACTGTTTTCTGTACAGCTAAAATAGCTGGAAGTGGCTGAAACACTGAAAGCCTTGCACTCTTACTTTAAAAATAAGATGGATAAACATGCCGACTTAAGACAATTTGCTCACCAATTAGACAAATGAAAACATTTTTTGCAATGTGCAATTCATTCATGCATTGCAGTGCAGTATGAATTGCATTCGGACACATTTTCGAATATAACGCCACACAAATCAAACGCAGCTAGAAGTGTTTGTATTCACGTTCTTGCATAGAGTATGTTTCAGATCCAAAACTGATGATTTTCAATAAATATTTGGGAAAAAATGCATATAAACGTTACGTTAGTCATGATCATTTTCACGACACAATCTTTGTTGTCCACAGCTGAAAACAGAACAATGACATTATCATGTTGCACTTAAGCAAACAAAATCAACTTTACAATAGGAATCGCTCACCTGTGGATGCAGTGATGGTGGCAGGAGCACTTCTCCTCTGTCCGCGTTCTGCCACGAGGGTGACGGTGTAGCGCATGCCAGGGCTCAAGCCGCTCAGGGTGTAGGCGGTTGCAGTAGCAGGCAGCTCGACTTCTTCCCGACGGCCGTCGGCAGAGACAAACGCTAGCCTGTAGGTGGAGATCTTGGCCCTGGGCCTCTTCCAGACCAGTTCCAGGGTGGTTTCGGTGGAGTCTCGCACTTCCAAGTCTCGTGGAGGATCCGGATCTGTGTGGGTGGAGGTTCAAAATGACAGCACAAAAGACACATTCATGCCAGGAAACGGTGATGGTATCAGAATTCATGAAATCAAAAAGACTGAAGAGATAAAGACTAGTCTGTCATCATCTATTCACTTTCATGTCGTTCCAAACCTGTGTGTCTTTTTTAGGAGGTTTTAGGAGAAGTTTTGTGGTGCTTCATATAATGAGAGAAACATCATAAAAGAAGTCAGCTTGGATGATGTTTTTATGGTACTTTTGGTCACTGAGTTCACTACACACAAAAATAGCAGCGTGAACAGGATCCATGGAACAAAGTCATACTGGTTTAGAAAGACATGAGAGTGGGTAAATGAGGACAGAATTCAAATATCTGGGTAAATTCTTTTAAAATCTCTTTAAATGGTTTAAAAATAGAGTTATATTCATGTTACTGTGCTTAGTATTTTGGTAGGCATCTTCATAAGAAAAAAATAGCATGTGTTTATTTAAAAAATTATGCACACCACCATTTTTAAAAGATTATTGTTATGGACTGCAAAATAAATAAATTAAATTAAATTAAATTTGTTGAACACATATTTTGAAGAATGCTGGTAACCACACAGTTGCCAGTAACCATTGGCTTCCATAGTTTGGACAAAAAAATACTATGGAAGTCAATGGCTACCGGCAACCATTTGGTTACCAGCATTATTCCAAATATCTTCTTTTGTGTTCAACAGAAGAAGGTTTGGAACAACTTGAGGGTGAGTAAATGATGACAGAATTGACATTTTTGGGTGAACTGTCCCTTTAAATAAAGATAAATTTACTTGAGAAGCAAGATCACTTAAGATATTAAGTCTTGTTTTCTGAAAAACTTATCAAAATTGATTTTAAGCTTAAAACATGTTTTCCTTTGAATTAATTTTATTTTTCTTATCCCATTGGCAAATATTTTATAAACTCAATTTTGATAGTTTATTTTTATTTATTTAAATTTATGCATTTAGCAGACGCTTTTATCCAAAGCGACTTACATTGCATTCAGGCTATACATTTTTTTACCAGTATGGTATTTTATTACTATTTAAAGTAACTGTTTTGACTATTTGAATATATTTTAAAATGTAATTTATTTCTGTGATCAAAGCTGAATTTTCAGCATCATTACTCCAGTCTTCAGTGTCACATGATCTTCAGAAATCATAATAATATGCTGATTTGCTGCTCAAGAAATATTTCTTCTTATCAATGCTGAAATTCAAATTTCAAAAGAACAACATTTATTTGATATAGAAATCTTTTGTAATATTATAAATGCATTTCCTGTCATTTGTGATCAATTTAATGCATGCTTGCTGAATAAAATTCTTTCAATTTCTTTAAAACAAAGCAAAAACCATAGCAATCCCAAACTTTTGCACAGTACTGTCTGTAGCTGATATAAAGAGAGCTGGTCTCACCGGTCAGTGCGTTGGTGGTCGCTGGCTCACTCTCTCTTTCATTCTGAACGGCTGTGACTCCAATGCCATACTCCGTTCCAGGCTTCAGGCCTACGGCACACCAAACCCATTAATCCAGCAGATAAAACACTAAGCTGATGCTTTTTCAAGCAGAGAACGAGGGGAACATTTCTGTATCATGCCATCTCTATGTGAATACTTTCACTTCTTTATCTGTGGCAGACAAAAATCATGTTTACACCAATGGACCTATAATGCATATCTATATGGATTTATGAAGAGTTTAAAAACAGAAACGTGCAACTGGCATTTTTGTTCAAGCACTTATATTAGTTCTTTCTTTAAAACTGTTTTTTTTTAAACCATGAAGTTGTCCAAATGATCCTTTTATAGGGACAGACAACATTAGTCTCATGTATTTTCAGTCTAAATTAAATCACAACCAACACACTGCAAAAAATTATTTTCTTAGTATTTTTGTTTTATTTTCCATTACATATATCTAAAAAGTCTTAAGATACATTTATCTGAGAAGGAAAATTACTTAAGATATTAAGTCTCATTTTCTGAAAAAAAAAGATAAAAATTAAGTGCTTAAAACAAGAAAACAATCTAAATATATATATATAGAAAAACTTGTTTATAATACATGTGAACATAAAAATAAAATACATATTTTTTTTATTAAATAAAATAAAATAGATTTTTATTAAATATAAATCAGAAAGGAACATACTTTACAATGTTAAAAAAATACAATATTACAAAATATTTTTGTAATATTATAAATGCATTTCCTGTCATTTGTGATCAATTTAATGCATGCTTGCTGAATAAAATTCTTTCAATTTCTTTAAAACAAAGCAAAAACCATAGCAATCCCAAACTTTTGCACAGTACTGTCTGTAGCTGATATAAAGAGAGCTGGTCTCACCGGTCAGTGCGTTGGTGGTCGCTGGCTCACTCTCTCTTTCATTCTGAACGGCTGTGACTCCAATGCCATACTCCGTTCCAGGCTTCAGGCCTACGGCACACCAAACCCATTAATCCAGCAGATAAAACACTAAGCTGATGCTTTTTCAAGCAGAGAACGAGGGGAACATTTCTGTATCATGCCATCTCTATGTGAATACTTTCACTTCTTTATCTGTGGCAGACAAAAATCATGTTTACACCAATGGACCTATAATGCATATCTATATGGATTTATGAAGAGTTTAAAAACAGAAACGTGCAACTGGCATTTTTGTTCAAGCACTTATATTAGTTCTTTCTTTAAAACTGTTTTTTTTTAAACCATGAAGTTGTCCAAATGATCCTTTTATAGGGACAGACAACATTAGTCTCATGTGTTTTCAGTCTAAATTAAATCACAACCAACACACTGCAAAAAATTATTTTCTTAGTATTTTTGTTTTATTTTCCATTACATATATCTAAAAAGTCTTAAGATACATTTATCTGAGAAGGAAAATTACTTAAGATATTAAGTCTCATTTTCTGAAAAAAAAAGATAAAAATTAAGTGCTTAAAACAAGAAAACAATCTAAATATATATATAGAAAAACTTGTTTATAATACATGTGAACATAAAAATAAAATACATATTTTTTTTATTAAATAAAATAAAATAGATTTTTATTAAATATAAATCAGAAAGGAACATACTTTACAATGTTAAAAAAATACAATATTACAAAATATATAAAAAAATCTAACTATTATTTTAGATATATTATATATATATATATATATAACATACAATTAAGATTATTATATTTTTTGCCCCTGAAATACATTTTGAAATATATTTTGGTATTTGAAGGTTGAAACTAAATATATTTTAAATTTCAAAAATATATATTATTGAGCTTCACTGTTTACAACATATATTTAAAATATTTTTGTCCAGAAAAAATTGCTGTATGGGATGGAGTAAGCAATGTGATATTTTCCCCCCCTTTGAATTAAGATTATTTTTCTGATCTCACTGACAGATTTTTTTTTCAAGCATAAAGTCACAATTTTATTTATTTATTTATTAGAAAACAAGACTTAATGTCTCAAGTCATTTTGCTTCAAGTAAATGTATCTTAATTTAAGAATGTTTAGGAATTTGTACTGGAAAACAAAACAAAAATACTGAGGAAGAAATCATTTTTTTGCACTGCAACTAGCAAATACAGTGCAATTCTTAACATTTGTCTCATTACAGGAGCATCGTTTTACCTGTAATCGTGGCCCATGTCGTGTCTGCTGCTCTTCTAGGGAACATGTCTTCACCATGAGCACCTCCTGCGATCGGGCCATACTTGATACGGTATCCGTCGATGGATGAACGGCTGTTTTTCCATTCCAGTGTGATGCTGCTGTCAGTCTGATCCACAGCTTTGAGGTCAGTGGGGGCATCCAGACCTGGGACACACAGAAAACCATCACACCTCATTAAAACACTGGTTTGAGTTCATCTTTGTGAGAAGCTCCCAGCAAGCTAAATATTTAGTCTGTAGAGTGTTCGTACCCGTGGTGAAGCTCTCAAAGATGAGCTCGCTGGTCACGTCTCCCCTCTTTGAACTGAGAGACACTCTGTATTCGGTGTCTGGTTCCAGGTCCTCCAGGCTGTACTGCGTGTCTGTGGCCGGGAGGTCGACATCTCGATGGACTAACAGGTCTGTGCTCGGCCCGTACGACACCCTGAACCCGTCCACCTGAGCCACGGGTATGGACCAGGAGATCACTGCTGACCGGTCTGTCACATCGTCAACATCAATCTGCCCTGGAGAATCGATTCCTACAGCAAGAGGAGGGATACATGATTATACTTATAATTACAGTCAGTTCAAATAATTTTGTATATATATGTGAGGAATATATATACTGTATATATGTGTGTGTGTGTGTGTGTGCACGAATAGTCGAATATTCTATTTGCAATAATTATTCGAAAAATAAAAACACTATTAGAATTTCGCTAAAATGTTGCTTTGCTGGCCGTAAATGCAGTGAATCCCTGATAAATCCAGAGCATGCAAACTTTGTCAAGTGAAACTGATTTATCACTAAAATGAGTAATCATATGAATTACAAACACTGGAACGTCATGACCAGTCGAATGAAGAAAAACAGCGGCACATCACTGTATTCACTACTGCAGGAGATACTCTACCATTCACATGTTTTGGGGAAAAAAGAAATAATGCTTTTATTCGGCATGTATGCATTGAACTGATCAAAAGTGACAGTAAAGACATTTATAATGTAGCAAAAGATTTCTATTTCAAATAAATGCTGCTCTTTTGAACTTTTTTACTCATCAGAGAATCCTGAACAAAAATGCATCATGGTTTCTACAAAAATATTAAGCTGCACTGTTTTCAACATTGATAACATTGATAATAATACAAACCTTTATTAATAATTAAGCACCTATAATAATCCTTAAAAGGTCATAATATTTAAAATTATTTGGGCGTGTTTTATGCAGATTACTAACCAAAAATGCTTTTCTTACTTAGATTTGTTTGTCTTGTTTTCAGCCAAAATATCTAAAAATTTAGATAGAACAAGCAAAATAATCTGCCAATGGGGTAAGCAAAATAATCTTATTTCAAACAGAAAACAAGATTATTTTTCTTACCCCATTGGCAGATTATTTTGCTATTTTGGCTGGAAACAAGACAAAAAATCAAAGTAAGAAAAGCATTTTTTGCAGTGTAGTCGTTCATTTAGAAAACTCCAAATTCATAAACACTAGAACGACATTAAGAAGAAACCCATGTGTTGTGAATGTGCAAACGCTGCAGTTTAATATTTAGTGTTAAGGGTTTATTCAAATTAATAACTCTCAGTTTACGCAAAACTCATGATGGTTGACTTGGCAAACACCACTTCTAAACTTGATTAGGTCTTTTAAAGTCAGTCAATGTCTACAAAATTCTTTCATGCAGTAAATAAGATTTAATGCACCAAGAACCACAAATTCGTGATGGATGTTTCCAAATCTAGAAATCTGAGCACTTTTACAGGCAGTAAAATAGGGAAATACACTAACTACTGTCAGAAATCAAGGGCCTTTTGAAACTAAAAATGCCTTATTGGTTGTTATCATGGATCTATGTGTGCAGAGGCTGTAAAATGTCAAGCCAGACACACGGATTGTCCAAATTTCTCACGGTTAAGCACTGAATTGGGTTGTTAAAGCCCTGTTGGTCAACCCACGCTGGATATTTCATAAGGTTAAATGATGGCCCCTATTCTTCTTGGCCTTTCTAAACAGCAGGCCTTCACATTCTTTACTGCTGAGCTGGTTTCGCCTTCAACCTCCGACACTTTAGAGCCGTTTAGCAGATGTAGATTAATCCAGTCAATTACCGGACGGACCAAAATCAACACCTTTAACATTTACTGCCACATTTAAATGGGATCACGACACAGACAATAAACAAGAGGAAAGGTTTACTTTAGAGAAGGTGCATTACTTGTTACTACAGTGGAGCTTGTTTCGGGTCCTCTGGTGTTGTTCTTAATGATGGACAAAGTGACTTCATATTCCTGGCCGGGGCCGAGTCCTGGTTGCTCAAAGTTGGTCTGGGAAGGTGTCAGATTGTTCACGATCTTCCCGTTTTCTTCTTTCTGTTATTGAGAAGACAGAAAAAACATGCATTTAGCTTGATTTAGCCTTGGTTATTTTTGCTAAACCTGAAATATTTTTAGGAGAATATACTGTATAGATCAGTGGTTTGCAACCAGAGGGCCTCAGAAACGTAAGATGATTTAAAATAAGACAAAACAAGCACTAAAATAGGCAAAACAACTTAAAATCTAGATATGTCTTGTTTTAATTCACCCCACTCAACAAACTGGATGTAAGAGGTAGTCTAATTTTAAAAACGTGATTTTTAGATATAAAAAAGGCATACAAATTAATAAAAAAAAAGTATAACTCCATGAGCAATTTTATAATGAGTATACATTTTTGTAATTGTGCCAAGATCTAAAATATTCATATATTAATATATCTAAAATATAATCAAACTGTTATATTCAAAAAGGTTGAGAACCACTGAGATGACCTCAAAGCTAATTAATAGACATTTTATAAGTTAATGAAACTGACCTAAAGGCCTCACCATAAAAAAAAAATATAAAAAATAAAAAAAATTGATTAAAATAAAATAAGTAAAACAATTAAAAAAAAAAATAAAAAAAAAAATAAAAAAAAATAATAATATTGATGAAAAATCTCAAAATCTGGTCGAAAAAACAAAACAAAACAAAACATTGATTAAAATAAAATAAGTAAAACAATTAAAAAAAAAAATAAAAAAAAAAATAAAAAAAAATAATAATATTGATGAAAAATCTCAAAATCTGGTCGAAAAAACAAAACAAAACAAAACAAAACAAAAAAACAGGCTTCTATTTATAAATTAATACAATCTTAAAACTCCATGGGCACACATATAATGAATACGCTTTTTTTTTGTAGTTATGCCAAGTTATGAAATCTTTTATTGAGAAAAAATTGTGAGTAAAAAAATACTTTTAAAATCCTTGGAGTCAAAAAGGTTGAAGACCATTGGTCTAGATGAACTCAAAGCTAATATTCATGTACTAAAAGTCACAAAATTCCAATAACAGTTTCTCAGAGTCTATATTTATATCCCCATTACTGAGAGTCATGATATGACAGGGAAAACGTGTCATGCATTTAAATGTTATTAGTTTCCTAAATGCTGGTGGCATGAAACAACAGCACTGAAAGTGAGCAATAAGTTCAAACATCTGGGATTTCTGGAGCACCATTAAAGTGAGTCTTAATGGAGACTTTATGGTTCAAGGATGGTTCTTTTTAATGGCTTCTTAAATGAGTGTATGAGCTCATGGCCGCATGCAGCTCTGACTCAAATGGAGAAAATGCCCCTTCATATCATTCCTCTGTTTTAAATATGAGAGAGAGAGACTATGAAACAAGCAGCATGACCGTATAACCTTGGTACCTAGAACCTCCTTTAGGAATAAACCACTATGTGAACATTTTACCGCAGTAAATCTGTTGACCTAATGATTGAGCAGCTGGTACAGAGATACATTTTTACTCTTAGTTTTACTGGCAGTTATTAAACTGATGAGAGTGTTTCAAGTATTTATCATCTAGGGTATTTCAACACTTTACTTGCACTTTGCTTTATAGCACTTCATAAATATGGCTCTGAATTGCTTCCACGTCCTGGGAAGATGTGTTTATAATGTAATGAAACGGACCTAAATTCCTTTGCCTAGTAAGGCATCAAAAAATACATTTACACAGTCTCAAATTCTTGCCGTTTTTTGGCAGTCTGAAGAGCAAAATAAGTAAATACATATCTAATTATTAAAATAATTAATTAACTAAACAAAAACTAAACATTAAAAATAATTGTAAAAAATTTTAATAAAATTACAACACCCTAATAATAATAATAATACTAAATTAACTGTCCAAAAATAGTTTTTTCCTATATGCAAACATTATTTTCTAAACATAATTTTTTATTTCTTAAATTTTTCTCTTCAACAAAGTTCATACTTAAACACTTCACACTTTAAAGGGGTCATATGATGCTGCTAAAAAGAACATTATTTTGTGTATTTGGTGTAAAGAAATGTGTTTATGCGATTTAAAATAAAAAAAACGCATTATTTTCCACATACTGTACATTATTGTTTCTCCTCTATGCCCCGCCTTTTTGAAACGCGTCGATTTTTACAAAACTCATCGGTCTGAAAAAGCGAGGTGTGCTGTGATTGGCCAGCTATCCAGTGCGTTGTGATTGGCCGAATACCTCAAGCGTGAGACGGAAATGTTACGCCCCTCACCATACTGTGTTGATGCCGTGTCCGGCCGGAGCGACGAGACATAAACATTAAAACCCATTACAAACGAGGCATTTGTTGCATCCAGTGGGGACAAAATTACTGATTATAATGACTTATACTGTCTTCTTACGCGTTGCGTTGCATTGCGCCGCGTAAACATAAAACCCTGTCTGCATTTGTGATAAGAGAAATGACAAACAACAAGTGCTAACATTAATCCACACTGCCCAAAACTCGCGTTTGAATCATCAGTGGCAAATCCTTCAAATGAAAACGTACTTACGTGAGTCAGAACTGCTGGCATTTTAGTCTAACGTAACTCTCCCAGGATCAGTAAACAGTCCTCCATAAAATGTGCCGGCGATCCACAGCACTAAGTTGAAGTATTCCCTCAGCGACCAGCACAGATCAGCTCTAGGCATAACGAAGCGGATATCGTCCTCTTTTGGAAGACCAAACAAAAGTTACTCCTTCTTTCTTTGCGTGAACATTTGTGTGGCGTTATGCAAATCTTCCCACACAGTTAGGTAGATATGTGGGGGCGTGTTCGAACGAGCCGTTTTAGGTAGGCGTGGCTGACTCTTAACTTTTATAAAGAATATCTCTTTGGATTTGAGACTTTAGTCTTTGCAAATTTACAGATCTTCTTTATGCACCAAGAGCTTGTAACACTCCAAAGAGAAAGGAAAAAATGAAATTGCATCATATGACCCCTTTAAACAAATGAACAAGACAGAAAAAATCATTAAGAATGTGATTATTGTATTATTTATATTGTACATTATTTATATAATATAGTGTATATTCTGACCCAAATTCTTTGGTTTGATGCAGTCTGAAGGGCTGAATGAATGATTACATAAATAAATAAATAAACAAACAAACAAATAAATAAATAAATAGGTTCATATTTACCCTTTAACAAATGAAAAACATGAAAAGAATATGACAAATCTGTCTTGTGCAGTTTTGCCTCTCAGGTGAAATTATCTTGTTTTTAAAGAATTCTGATGTTTTGTATCGGAGAAGACGACAAAAACTCATTAAGAATGTATTATAGGCTAGATTATTGGCTGATAAAATCTGATTTTGACAAACCCGCATAGGATTAAAATCATATTTTTGGAAGATTTTGTTTTTTAAGTTAGATTTGAGTTCTAAACAGTTAACAAAATAGTATTTTGTGGATTTTTGTGATGTGTATGTAGCATCATAGACAATGTGCAGCAGTGTCAACAGATGCGTCTGGATTCTCTCATTTTTTGCCTAGATTATTGCCTAAATAAATAAATAAACAAACAAACAAATAAATAAATAAATAGGTTCATATTTACCCTTTAACAAATGAAAAACATGAAAAGAATATGACAAATCTGTCTTGTGCAGTTTTGCCTCTCAGGTGAAATTATCTTGTTTTTAAAGAATTCTGATGTTTTGTATCGGAGAAGACGACAAAAACTCATTAAGAATGTATTATAGGCTAGATTATTGGCTGATAAAATCTGATTTTGACAAACCCGCATAGGATTAAAATCATATTTTTGGAAGATTTTGTTTTTTAAGTTAGATTTGAGTTCTAAACAGTTAACAAAATAGTATTTTGTGGATATTTGTGATGTGTATGTAGCATCATAGACAATGTGCAGCAGTGTCAACAGATGTGTCTGGATTCTCTCATTTTTTGCCTAGATTATTGCCTTCAGCATCATCTCCCGTGAAACTAACCGTGTTACGAAAGATGAGCTCCCAGCCGTCGAATGGAAAGTTCAGCCGGTCCCACAAAACCTCCACAGATGTATCACTGATGGAAAAAAAAAAAAAATCTACAAAATAATAATAAAAAATATCAATGAACAATTTTTATAGTCCAAAAAATAAGCTTCTTTTCCAACATTCAAACATGTGTCAATTGCTTTAAATAAAAGAAAAAGCTAAATGACAGTAGAGGACAAGGCGTGTTTAGGAAACCTGTTTGGTGACGTTAATGACACTGAAAATACAAACTAAAGGTAGTGCAATAAATACTACCATGGTGCAAAAATATTTTGCAATTAAAATTTAAAATTAGTTTTGTAAAAATCGACGCGTTTCAAAAAGGCGGGGCATAGAGGAGAAACAATAATGTACAGTATGTGGAAAATAATGTGTTTTTTGAACTTTAAACCGCATAAACACATTTCATTACACCAAATACACAAAATAATGTTCTTTTTAGCAGCATCATATGACCCCTTTAAATAAATGAAAAACATGAAAAAAATCTAACAAAGAAAAACATATGAGATACATTTTCTCTTAATTAAGATTTTTGTCATCTCATGCAATTTTGCCTCTCAGGTGAATTTATCTTGTTTTAGGGATTCAGTTTTTTTTTTTTTTGTATTGAAAAACACATTAAGAATGCGATTTTTTGTAATGCATGTATTAGTATTATTGGCTAGATGATGGTTTTCTAATTATGAGAATGGCACAACTGCAAAAGACCACATCTCCAGTGTTAGACAAACATTTAAGTTCCATCTATGTATATAAATATACGCTTCACAGTTTTGTATAGTGATTGCATTTGTGTAATGTTGATCAGGGCGTGTGAACATACATGTGGCCACTCTGGCGCTGACAGGAACACTCTTCTTGTTGTTGAGGATGGCATAAACGTTGATGAGATACTCGATTCCCGGCTCCAGCTCAGAGACGGTAGCAGACGTACGATCTCCAGGCACGCGGAAGTCCAACTGCAGGCCGCCTGGTGACGTCGGGACGTATGTAACCAAATACTCCGCCACCAGCATCTCGTTCTTCCATGTGAGGTTCACCTTCTCCGTGGTCACATCCGTAATGGTCAGGTCTTCCGGTGGTGAGACTTGGAAAGATATTAAGGGTCATTTACATCACAGATGTTGAGAGAGTGAATGATCTTTTGTGCCAAAAAGTAGGAAAATTGTCCATGTCTCCACTGTGGTGACTGGAAAAAAACATCTAATCAAACTGCTGAGAGGTTTGAATTGAGCTACACTGAGTAAATTAGCTTTGGTTTCTTATTAATGGCAGTTTTTGGACCTTTTGACATGACTTTAATTGTTGTCTGTGTTGACCTTCACCACTAATTGTCCTCTATATAAAGCTAATGGATTTCTCTGGGACACATATGGTGTGAGTTTGCTGTCAAAGTAAAAAAAATAAATAAAAATCAAGCATGTTCAGCACTATTCTGTGCAAAAAGATGGATCTAAAATAGTGCACTATGTAGTAGATTTTTTGTGTTTTTGAAAGAAGTCTATTCTGCTCACTAAGGCTGCATTTATTTGATCAAAATACAGAAAAATGGCAATAATGTGAAATATCATTACAATTTAAAAGAACCATTTTCTACCTGAATATATCTTAAAATGTTATTTATTTCTGTGATCAAAGCTGAATTTTCAGCATCATTACTCCAGTCTTCAGTCCCACATGATCTTTCAGAAATCATTATAATATGCTGATTTGCTGCTCAAAAACATTTATTATTATTATCAGTGTTGAAAACAGTTGTGCTGCTTCATAATTTTGTGAAAACCATGACACATTGTTTTTTTTTTCAGGATACTTTGATGAATAGAAAGTTCAAAAGAACAGTATTTATTTGAAATAGAAATCTTTTGTGACATCACTGTCAATTTTGCTGCATAAAAGCATTAATTTCTTTAATTTCATTTCATTTCCTGACCCCAAGCTTTTTGAGTGGTAGTGTATATCATCAGTAAGTTATTTGTGAGTCTTATACATGGGCTGCTTTTATGGTGCTTTTCTGTCTCTTTTGATGTTCAACAACACTGAGGTGTATGGAAAAGTATGTAAACATTCTGCATAACATCTCATTTTGTATTCATTGGAAGAAAGAAAGGTTTGGAATAACATGAGACTGAGCCACAGTACTTTAATTTTTGGCTGAATTATCCATCTAATTTAAATCCATAAAAACAAAGAAATGCCAATCATCTAGCTAACACTTGAAAAAAAGTGTTTGCATCACCAGTACGGAGTAAGGACTAATGCTTTGCAGGGTTATTATTGTTAACTAAATCCATAAAAATACTGTTACTTGAAATAAAATAAATATTAACTGAAATAAAATCAAATAAAATATTTTAAAAAAAAAAATATTTTATTTATTTTTTTACTTGGTAAACTCATTAGTTTTGAAGACAACATTTTTAATTTTTATTTAGTTTAACTTCAAGTACTAAAATAACCAGAGTGTTATTTTAGTATCACTGAGATACCATTCATATTTAGATTTTTTTTTTTTTTTCCACTTTCATTTGGATTTTAGGTAAAGTTTTAGTAATTTTGTTGTGTGTTTTGTCATTTTTTGTAGGCTTTTTTTTTTCTTTTTTAATATGTCTATATAGTTTTTATTAATTTTTATTTCAGTTTTAGTTATTTTAGTACATCAAATTAAACTAAATTAAAACGAGAACTAACATTTTTAAGTTTTTATATCTTATTTTATTTCAATTAACATTTATTTTACTTCACAAGTTAAAAAAAATATTTTTTTTACTTTAAAAACTCAGAAAATAACAACTATAACTTAAATAAAAATGAATAAAAAGGATAAAGACATGCCAAAATGATAAAAATGATTTAGAAAAGGTAAAAAAACATAAAATTATTAAACTGTAACTAAAATGAAAATGGAAAATATGAAAATATAAACAGGTTCAAAATATTAATATATAGTATATAAATGATAGTATATATAGTCTAGTATATAGAATATAATTGACTGCTTTTGGCAATTACCTTCTGAGCAATCCTCGCCAATGTAGCCTTCATCGCATACACAGCGGCCGCCCACACATTGCCCCGCATCATTGCAGTCATTCGGACAGCTTCTTTCTCCACAGGCATCTCCAGCGAATCCCTCATCACAGACACATTTCCCATTGAAGCAGCGCCCACGGTTATTGCAGTTTCCAGGACAGGTGGGAACGGAGCAATCCAGGCCTTCAAAACCCTCCTGGCAAACACACTGTCCCTCCACGCAGCGTCCGCGGCCGAGGCAGTCGTTGGGACACTTCCTCTGACTACAGTCCTCTCCGGTGAAGCCTTCGTCGCAAACGCATTGCCCCGCGACGCAACGTCCACGGTTCAGGCAGTTGCTCGGGCAACTCATTTCACTGCAGTCTTCGCCGGCAAAGTTCGCAAAGCAAATGCACTTCCCATCCACACACTGGCCTCGGCCATAGCAGTCCGACGGGCAGGTTTTGATGCTGCAGTCCTCGCCACCGAATCCCTCTTCACAAACACACTGGCCGTTAACGCAGCGCCCGCGGTTATTGCAATCATTGGGGCAGCTAAACTCCAAACAATCATGGCCTTGGAATCCGATGTTGCATTCACAACGACCATTAATGCAGCGCCCTCTACTGTTGCAGTTATTCGGGCAGGAGAGCTTCCCGCAGTCCTCTCCGAAATAACCCGTTTCACAAATGCACACGCCGTTGAAACAGCGCCCTCTTTGGTTGCAGTCGCTCGGACAGGTCAAGCTGGAACAATCCTCGCCGGAGTAGCCGGCGTCGCATTCGCAGCGGCCGTCAATACAAAAACCTCGTCCCGAGCAGTCGTTCGAACAAGTGAATGCCCCGCAGTCCTCTCCGGTGTAGCCTTTATCGCAATAACAAGTCCCATTTTCGCATCGCCCGCGGTCGTAGCAGTCATGCGGACAGATGAGCTCGGAGCAATCGAATCCGGTCCAGGGTTCATCGCAGACACACTCGCTATCAACGCAGCGGCCGCGTCCCAAACAGTTGTTGAGACAATCCGTCTCTGTGCAATCGTCCCCAGAGAAGCCTTCATTGCAAACGCATGCTCCGTTAATGCACCGCCCGTTCTCGCCGCAGTCAACCAGACAGGTCTCCACGCTACAGTCCTCACCCGCGAAGCCATTGAAACACTCACACTTTCCGTTAATGCAGCGGCCCTGGTCATTGCAGTCTCCGGGACATTCGGGAACGGTGCAGTTGGGGCCCTTCCATCCGGGCTCACATATACAGCCGCAGGTCTCCGTGCTGTAGTTTCCACGGCCGCTGCAGTAGGGCTTCGTTCCTACAGTACCTACAGAATCAGGACATGTGTGAAGTTAAACAAAACTGTTTAACAGAAGTTAAATAAAACAAACAAATGAATAAGGGGGACCAGTATTATGTCAGTAGTAGGCCTACTGAAGGTTCGTGAACTGCAATCATTTTATTTTGCCCAAAAAGAGGGTGGGAATCAAAAGGTTCATGATTGAAGAGTGTAATTTCTGCTCCATTATCATTACCAAACTGAATGAAAAAAATTATGACTTCCCACCTCTTACACTGGTCAGCCCATCCTTAAACTTACACCATTGGTTGGGCTATATTGTAATCATAATGCTCAAAAAGAACAGTGTTTGCACTTTGTGAAGGAATCAACATATGAATATCTTGTATATCTTTGTTTATGCACATTAAACCTGAATAGGAGAAAGTATTTTAACATTGAAAAACCTTTAAAATGTGATTATCCGTAATACTGTGAACTTTCCCCCCTCAATAAGTGAATCTCAAAGTGTCTGGAAAGTGAACGTGTACCTGTGGCCTGAGCGCTGCAGCAGGTGGTTTCTGTGGCGCATTGCTCTCTGAGCGTCGACATCTCGCCCTCCAACATCTCCAGCCGATTCAGGAGCTCCTTCAGGTCCGGCAGCCCGTCCGTACAGCCACACGCCTGCTTGGGGATGTTGATGCGATGGGTGAAGACGACCTGATTACCGCCATCTAATGTGTGGTCTGTTACTTCTGAGCCAGATGGCGCATCCTTCTGCTCAAGATCCGAACCGACAGGAGAGTCCAGATCCACCGAGCACAGAGAGCTACCTGGAACTTTGATGTTGTAGACGTGGTTAAAAACGACCGGTTGAGAGGAGCTCGGAAGGGTTACATTGTGTATGCCGGGAATCGTCAGAGCTTCCCGCCGGTGTCTGATCATCTTCTTTACCAGGCCGGCATGATTTAAAGTCATCAGGGTGGCCAAAACCAAACAGCTGAATGGCAGGCCTCCTGAACCCATGTTTCTGCACTAATGGATGCTTGTCTTGGCAAGAAGGCCTGCCTGGTGAGTCTGGACAAAGTGCTGTCGTCTCTGAAAAAGCAAACACACAAAATATATAATAAAAATAAAATGTCACTGTAATTCCAAGAATAAATAGAAAATGCAGAAACATTTCGGGAAACCCTTTCAAAGCACCATTTCAGAAACAATTATGGTTATTTATATATGCATGCATGTATGTATGTATGTATGTATGCATATAATTTTAAATTTAAATTTTATTCATTTTTATTTCAGTTGTAGTAATTTTAGCACATCAAGAAAGAATAAAGAAATAAAGTTTTTGTATATTTTATTTTATTTCATTTAAGGTTTATTTATTTCAAATATGTACTATGTTATGGTTTTAGTTCATTATAACCTTGATTTGAATACATCACATTAAAAGTGTAAACAAGCACAGAAATGAAAAGAGCATAGAAACAATTACTAACACACTCAAAATACAGTAAATATCATTAAATAAAAATAATTTATTTTCATGCAGTGCCTAATAAAGGACATTTATTTGTAGCCATTAAGCTTTAAAGTGATAGTTGACACAAAAATGAAAAAAATATTGCAAAACTTAATGTAATTTTCTATGGATTTCAAAATGAGAAATTCTGAAAAAAAATGTACACACTCCTTTATTTTATACAACTATATATATATATATATATATATATATATATGATTTTGACATTCATGGATGGATTTTCATAATTTTTCAACAAACTGATTATGCATTATGCAAGGGGTAAAGTGATCTATCTGTTAAAAACTATTGATAGGTAATATATTCAATGCATGCACTGTTTATTTTATATATATATATATATATATATATATATATATATATATATATATATGATTTTGACATTCATGGATGGATTTTCATAATTTTTCAACAAACTGATTATGCATTATGCAAGGGGTAAAGTGATCTATCTGTTAAAAACTATTGATAGGTAATATATTCAATGCATGCACTGAACATAAGCCAGATTAAAGTCTGCACCAGTTATTGAACTAAATTTATTGCCACTATATCTTATAGGACTATGAGGACCATCACTCATCGCTATCAAAATCCTTATTGTTGAATCATAAAGTTATTTTATTCTTTACAAGACACTCTGCCAGATTCCTAAAAATATAGTCCATTTTGTCTTTAAGCATATTAAAAAAATCTGCCTTTCCCGTCTGCACGCTTGACCCGGGATGACTTCATATCTGGACATGGAGCTGTGTAATTTGTGGATGGTGGATGGGGGCCAGAGTCTCTGTCTCCTCCGCAGCGTGGGAACGCTCATCTGAAGCTCGTTCTGGATGTCCACGCAGCCTCCACATGTCTCAGATGTCTGTGCATGTGCGAAGCTGAAGAGGAAAACTCGACTGCAGGACCTCAGCGCGATTCAAAAGAGATATCAGCACCTACACGACCACGGCCACAGGGACTTCCTGTCTCTGCTGCGTGCGTGAGCGGCACTTCCAAACGCGGAGGAAACCGACTGCAAAAGCCATTTGTTTTCGCCCAGCCATTCAATGATAAGCTTTATGCCACAAGTTGGGGCTTGAAAAACATGCACTGCATTGTGTAGAGAAATACAAGCTAAAAACTATAATGACAGGTTAGTGACAGTCACAGGTCGTCTTTGTGATCAGCTTATGAATGACTTTCCAGGTTTTTTTT